GAAGATTTTTTAGATAGATGTTAATGTATTATAGTTTTGCCCCCATAAAAAAAAAACTAGTTGGGACAATTGTAAAGGTTTGGTTATTCAATTTTGATTTCAGCATCAAGAATTCAAGCTGTGAAAACATCTTTTCACATACTGGTAAGACTGTAAACATCTGATCTTCTCCAGAACTTGTAGTTGTGAGTGTCCATGCACTGGACTACCTTTTTTTATTTACCATTAATTCAATTGTTTTAATCTTACTAGGTTTCTAGTTCCGCCCCGGATACAATGATAGATCAATTATTACCACCGTTATGAATTGGATTGAAATTAATTGTTCAATCACATCGCATGCTATATTCAAACAAAACATGCTCTTACGATCATGACCTTCATTCCTCTTTAGTTCTGTTTGAAAAATCAGCATCACAGGAGCACCATAACTTTATTTTGCTTAATACTAAATGTCTTTTTTCCCTGCACTACAGGTTTTACTTGTCTGCTTTGTTCTGAGCACCATCAGTTATGCATCAATGGCGGTTCTAGGCTACCTGATGTTTGGAGAAAATTTGATGTCTCAAGTGACTTTAAATCTTCCCACTAGAAACATAAGTTCAAAAATTGCTATTTACACAACATTGATCAACCCCATCACCAAGTATGCCATAATTGTTTCTCCAATAGCAACAGCTGTTGAGGACTCATATCCTTTCCGGAACAGCAGAGCCCTTAGCATCCTCATCAGATCAGTTCTGGTGATCAGCACTGCTGTTGTGGCATTAACTGTTCCATTTTTCGGCTGTGTGATGGCATTTATTGGTGCATTTTTGAGTACCAGTGTCTCAATGTTGTTCCCCTGCTTATGCTACCTGAAGATCAACAAAGCTGCTCGAAGTTTTGGCCCCGAATTGATGCTGATTACGATAATTATGGTGATGGGTTCACTTGTAGCTGTTGTGGGTACCTATAGTTCACTGAAAGAAATTGTAAAGCACATCCAACCACAATAAATAAGTTACTAATAATATCAGTAACTCAACTTTATAAGAATTCTGACTATTGTAGACGTTTCTCAGCATCAGAGTCAGTTTATGAAAGGAGCAAGACATACATGTTAGGTTTTAATTTTCTGATTGAAAAGAAATAACATAGCACACAACACATTCTGCAATGAATTTCTTGAAATAGATGACAGAAAATTTAGCAGTGTGTAAGATGATTAGACATTTTTACATAATCCGTTCTACAAATAAACAAAATTATGATTCAGTATATAAATCAGTCTGAATGACACCAAATGATTGATTGATGATCGCCAACGTAAATGATTACTTCAGCAGCCACAAACTTTTGGGTCTCTATTTTTTTTTCTAATCAACTTTTTCTTCAGTCTGAGTGCCAATAAGGACCACACCATATGTGTACCATATGGAGCATCCTGTAACTCTCAAGCACAGGATGTTCCATATGGTACACCTATGGTGTGGTCCTTATTGGCATTCCCAAGTTCCCAGCTCTGCTCCGGTCCCTTATTAATCAACTCAATAGAGCTACATCCAGCTTCCTTCATTCCAATTGGACTCCATTCAGTCTCTCTGACTATGTTCCCTTCCTTTGCCTCTACCACACTCGTTTGATCTGACATTCTCCCAGCAATGGCATATGTACTGGAAAGAATGATCAAATCTGCTGGGTGTTTATCAATTTCCTGCAATACTCTGTTGACAACTTCCCCCAAATCAACGTTTCCATAAACTCTGCATGCTGCAAGTAATGCACGCCATGCAGTGGCATCACCCTCAATGGGCAAGCTCTTGATTAGTCTATGTGCTTCCTCTAGCAACCCTCCACGACCCAAGAGATCAATCATGCAGCCATAGTGTTCGAGCTTAGGTGTCAAGCCATATTTTCGAATCATCCTCTCGAAACAGTCCATTCCCTCCGTCACCAGTCCTCTATGGCTACAAGCACTCAACACAGCCAAGCAAGTGACTTCATTAGGCCAAAACCCTTCCTCCTCCATCCTGTAAAAAAGTGTAATGGCATTTTTCGCCTGCCCATGGAACCCGTATCCCAATATCATGGCTGTCCAAGATTTCACATCTTTGGTCTCCATTCTATCAAAAATATCAATGGCCTTCCCCAGTAACCCACATTTAGAATACATATCCACTAGCACTGTACCAAGAACTGCATCCAATACCAACTGCTGCTCCTTGACATAGTCATGGACACACTCACCTGCAGCCAAAGCTCCAGAGGCAGCACAAGCTGAAAGTAACCCAGCCAGTGTAGATGAATTGGGTTTCACTCGTCCCAGTTTCATTAACTGTAGTAAAGCTAATGACTCTTCTAGCAGGCCACTTTTAGCATACCCATCCATTAAACAGTTCCATAGAACAATATCCTTTATATGAACTTCATCAAAAACTCTACGTCCTAAATTGATGTAACCAGTTTTCCCATACATTGCAATTAAAGCAGTGACCACATTCAAATCAAGGCAAAACCCAATCTTGATGCACTGCCCATGTAGTGACTCTCCTCCCAAAAGATTATCCAAATCAGTAACAGCTGACAAAGCACTCAACATTGTGGTGACACCAACACCAGAGCCATCCCTACACAATTGTCTGAACAAAATTAGAACCACAGCATGCTGAGATACATGAAGATAACCACCCATCAAGGTGTTCCACGACACCGAATCTCTTTCTTTAGGAAAGTCATCAAACAGTTGGTGGGCATCTTCAATTCTTCCACAAACACCAAAGAAGTGCAAAAGGGTATTCCTTACGTTGATAAACAAATCAAACCCAAATTGAATAACAATTGAATGAACCCCAAAGCCGGTCCAAAAAGCCAATACACGGGCACAAGATTTGAGGGTTGTGATAAAGCTGAACTGGTCTAGCAAAATATTTTGAGCCCTCATGTAATTGAAGACAACAAAAGCTTGTTTCGGGTCATCACTAATCGAATAGCCTCTAAGCATAGTATTGAACATAAAAAGATTTGGGTTTTGTATACTTCTGAAAATAGAGGCTGCATAGTTTATATCTAGTATTGAAGCTGCAAGAAGTTTGCTCAATGTGAAGGGTACGAGATCAAGACCAGTTTTGATCATTGAGCCATGGACTTGAGTGATTTCAGTGGCTTGACTGCAAGATTTTAATAAAGATACGAGCTTTTGCTCTGAGGAAAGTACAGAGTAGTGTCTTGAGAAATGGTGAGTCAACCAAAATTTGAAATTTTGCTTCAGGTGCGAACTAACGGTTATGGTCATGAGCCAGAAGTCGGACTTCTCGCGCGGACTTTGTAGTTCAGGAGGAATAACCCAGACAATAGTCCAACTTTGGATATTGCTCGAGTGTTTTGGTTTTATCCAATATGTACCATTTATACATAACACATATTTCGATATGATTGTACATGAATAGTTAAACAAATATATGGTTTAAATACAATAAAAATGCGATACAATCCATCCATAACCATAGCTTGTAATGTTTTAGAAATAAATTATTGGAGTCCTCGTGACCACAAGTGTGAGCTGTACAATAGTTTGAGATACCAAACCTAGGATAGACTTAGTCGAGACTCTTGAGACGAGGAACAAAGTTACAAAGGGATATATTTAGCTTTTACCCTCTTATGCTTAGTTTTGTCGGCGTTCAAGGTTAAATGGATAAGTTTATCTTGCAAAGTTGGTTTAGTATGCATAGTTGTGCTCTGATTCATTGGAGCATTTATACCTTCAAATGTGATGACATAGTAACCACTTAAATACTCATAGTCTAGGCTTGATAACTATTTTTTGTCCGCAAGGATTATGCTTCTATCTTTCTGGCGGTTCGACATATGTTTTGAATTGATGGGATGATAATGATCATTAATTACATCAGTACTTCGTAACATCAACGTTCTGAACGAGAGACTTTTCAAGGACAATTAATTCTCAGGATCGACCATGTACCTTTTTTCGTCCCATTGTAGGTCATATTCACTCGGTCTAGAGGATACCTTTTACTCAATCTCCGTCTATAAAAATTCAAGAAATACATCTTCTAGCTGCAATATGCAACGTGCTGATTTGTGACTAATGACCCACCCACTCCCGTCATGAACATTGAAATCTTTCATAAAAAACTTTGAACTTTGAGATAAATTATTTTCATGGACACGCATAGATAGCATTTGGACTAACTATATTCCCATCAACTTAGCAGGAAGGGAAGAAACACAGAAGAACACTGTTTTGCGTTTACTTCCTCCACCAAAGCATGAACCTATAGGTTGCATTTCACCATTGTTGACGTAATTTAACAGGTTTTCAAAAACTATCTCGAGTTTGAATTTCTAAAATAATGAGCTACAAATAAATCAAATTAAAATTAACAGCTACTAATGATTTTTAATATAGCGTTGAAAATATTTTTTTCAGTACCATAACTACATTCTCAAAATAGTATTACAATAAAAGATATAAAAGGTTTGTAATCGAAATGATTTCCCTTTATGAAGCAAAAACTGAAGTCAGTTGAGACTAGGCAATAGGACAGTTAATCGTGTGGGGTGAGGTGAGTGTTTATTGTGTTTTATCGGGTTCACGAAAAAAAAATTATACCCATAATTGATTCGTTTATTAATTCGTATTTAACGAATCATGTTATATCGAGAGTTGTATCGAGTATGATTTGTGTATAATCAGAATATAAACGAGTTGAATCGTATATTTTTTTGGATTAAATTTATTCATATCCAATTATTTTATTAATATTGTCGAGTTAGGTCCACCCATTCACAAACAAACGAATTAAGGAAGATTCGACCCAATCAATTAGGCACTATCTTACAGGGGCTCAGTGATTGGCCCAACCCCACACACAGCAGACTCAACCTCTAGGCCCATTAGGGTTTAGCCTTGCAACCAATAAATGGTGTACTCAGACTGTGTCACTTCACGCCACATATAGTCTCGTTTTCTCTTCCTCCATTTCCATTGCCTCCATTAGAGAGAGAGAGAGAGAGAGCAGATCGCGGGACTGAGAACCGTATCGACGGCGAACAATCACCATGGTCCACGTCTCCTTCTATCGAAACTGTAAGTCCTCACTGTTCATTGTGTGTATATTTATGTGTATATATGTATGAGATCTGATGCGCCTGTTATATGTAATTGTGAGAGCATGTTTTCATCAATTTTACTTTATCGGAGTCTCGCTGAACATTGATTTGAATCATGAGTTGTTCCATGTTTGTATATTTCAGTGTAAATGCAACTCATGGTATTTTATGATCTGTTTGATTCCTAAGAAAGAGTAGTTAAAGGAGTGGATACGAAAACTGGGAACTGTCTGTTCATGGTTTGACCCGAGGTTGGATAACATATGTGCTCAAGTGAGGTCTAGAGAAATTAATTAGCTTGATTTTATGGGTAATCAGAACAGCATGGAATACAAGATCGTATTATAATTTTCTCATTTAGTTTATCATTGATTTCCGAGTTACCAAACAATGGGACATTGACTTTAGTAATTGTATAAATGTTGGATTTTGTGGATGGTTTTGCTTGTAAAATTTGAGTGGAAAAGCATGACTGGGATTTTAGGCTGTTTAGTGTCATGGTTATACTGACGAATACGCAGCTATATTTCCTCTGCCTGATTGGCTTTTGGAAAAATGACAAGAAAAGAGGAGAAATTGAAAATTCAAGATCCAGTCTGTAATTTATGTGACCTGATAAAATTGATATACTCTCAGCTAATTGGCTTTATTGAGCTGAAGTTTTTGATCCATCAGCAACCAGAAAGCCATGAGATACACGATTTCAAATTAAATTATTTTTTCCCCTGTAGTCTTCTATGCAATAAAACATATGTCAACAGCAGTACTTTCTTACTCCAACACACAATTTGAGAAACACAAATGATGTTCTCAATTTTGGGTCTCAATAATTAAACATGACTGAATGTTAGATGGGAAGACTTTTAAGAAGCCTCGCCGTCCTTATGAGAAGGAGCGATTGGATGCTGAACTGAAGCTTGTGGGAGAGTATGGGCTCCGGTGCAAGAGGGAGCTCTGGAGGGTTCAGTATGCTCTGAGCCGCATTCGTAATAATGCCAGAATGCTTCTGACCCTTGATGAGAAGGACCCTCGTAGGATTTTTGAGGGTGAAGCCCTACTTAGGAGGATGAACAGGTATGGACTGCTGGATGAAAGCCAGAACAAGCTCGATTACGTGTTGGCCCTCACTGTTGAGAACTTCCTTGAGCGGCGCCTCCAAACACTCGTGTTTAAGACTGGAATGGCAAAGTCGATCCATCATGCTAGAGTGCTCATTAGACAGAGGCATATCAGGTATGAATCATGTATAGTCCCCAGTGACCCAATTCGGGAAGACTGTATAGTTTTCCAGTTATGGCTACTTGTTAATTTTCCATATAGCTGAACTAATGTTTATGGTCTCCATGCAAATTTTGTGTTGGTATACAGTAACTGGTTAAATAATACTGGATTTTGTAAGAAATTAAGTATGATCAAAATTGTTTGTGTGATTGTTCATATTTGTTTTTTTGCCTTCACGTAGACTGACGTATGTTTATATGTGCTTGTTCATATTATTGCGTCTCTACATGTTGTGCTATGTGATGTTTCTGAATCCTGCCATTATGTTGTCAATTGATGTAATATGAATACTCGTTTATGGTCTTAAACTTAAAACATTTCTTAAAATATGCCATGTTATATGATATTTCTGATTCGGAATTTCTGAATCGTGGTATTCTGTTGTCAATTGTTGTAGTAGGAATACTCTATATTATGGTCACTACTTTAAAATAGCATGTGATGACATTTTTGTCTTTCTAGAGGACTACGCTTCTTATATTGGACTGTTCTATTATTTTGTTGTTTTAATCACATGGGTTGATGTTTTCGTAGTGATTGCGTTGGTGGTTGTACTTCAAATTTAAAGTGATGTATAAAGAATAACTCATTAATTTCCTTTCCTTATTTTTGTTTTCCTGTTTACTACTATGGACACAACATAGTTTTTTAGTTCAGTCTATTGTACACAAATATTCATTTTTTTCCACTTAGCACGACATTAGATTTTTTAGGTCCATCCCTTCACCGTGTGAAACACCTTTGTAGCCAGTCGCCCATGCACAGTGTGTCTTTTCCTTAAGTGCATGCATGGTTGAGAGGTTATAAAATCTACAGAAGATTGCCACAGTCCAGAAACCCATGTTGCATATATTCCATAACATTTTAGTGTGCATCTTGCGCAAATATACATACACCGACCCCCTAATTTTCTCTCTCTCCCCCCCCCCCCCCCCAAAAAAAAAAAAAAAATGAAAAAACACATGTTTGTTGGATTGCAACATATAATTTGAACTAGTGGCTAACGAAGATGCGTCCTCTCAAGTTGGATTGACTTTATTACTCTTATTTTTGGTACCTCGATGTTAGTATATCAGTTTTGAATCTCTTGATTATTAATCATGTTCATCTTAAAAATATATGTTTTGTGTACTGCAGGGTTGGGAGGCAGGTAGTCAATGTTGCCTCATTTATGGTGAGAGTGGACTCACAGAAGCATATTGATTTCTCGCTTACAAGTCCTTTTGGTGGTGGTCGTCCTGGTAGAGTGAAGCGAAAGAACACAAAGGCAGCTGCTAAGAAGGCTGCTGGTGGAGATGGAGATGAAGAGGATGAAGAATGAGTCCTTGTGTTCTGTGTAGTTCGTGAAGGTAATATTAGGAATGATGGCCCAGAGTTTGTCTTCACCTCCAGAGTACTTTTTTTTCCATTAAATTGTTGTTGGTCTCTTTGACAACCTTCATTTGTAGGAAATTTTGGATGCCTTCATGCTTATGCTTTTTTGACTATCATTCAGAAAGATGTTCTTATTTGATTTGGTAACCTGTTGTTGTACAAGATTTGGTATTCTTGGGTTTCTATAGATGATGGGGCAATCTTTGCGCAAATTTGTGATTTGGTAGCTTTTTTTTTCTAATTGTTTTGTTGATAATGGAAACCCAAACTTGTGGATGCCTTGTAAACCAGGTAAATTAGGATTCTCCTGCTGGCTCAAGGTCTTAGTTTCAGAATTTTTGGTCTGCTTGTTAGGTGTGGATTGTTGTTAGTGCTGCCTCCGCAATTTGTTGGATTAGCATCTTGGCAAGAATCTGTCGAATGAAATGAGCTTTTCGTGATATAAAAACTCTCCTGTCTATTCCCCTTCGTGGGTTAGGGGGGCTTTTGGTTAAGTTGTTAGTAGTACTTAGGGTTGATGTCTCTAATTTGGATAAGTGGAACGAATGCAGAAAAACCTGCTTTAGAGGGAATAGAGGTGAAACAGCGCGTTTGAGCGAAGCTGCTAGAGGCCCTTCATCTTTGTCACTTTGGAAGAAGACTTTCTAACATGATAGCTTCATGGTTGTAGCTGGTAGACTCGTATACCCCAAACAAAGTTCTAAATCTTTCCGGAGGGGAAGGGAAAAGGCATAGCACAGGCATGTGGCTAAACTTTTCATGAGAGTTGAGTACACCTATATCATCAGAATATGAAGAAATTCGACAACTGGGGCGCATCAACGTTCTTGGTGAAAAACCATGTCCTATTGAACTCTAATAGATTAATTTTTGTTGGGACTCAATAATAACTCAATCTACACATGTAGAATTGATGGCCTTAATGCGAGGAAGTTGAAGTCGTTTTGGCAAATATGTTATAGGAGCTACTAACACCTATATTTAAGTTGGACATCATCCTGTAGCAACAGCCAATCTACTACTGTTAAGTTTCACTGGAAATCTCCTAACATGATGGGAAAGATTACCAGATGCCAGATGCGATCAAGTCCTCAATACAATACTTTGAATTTTTTTGGATAGTCGATACCTAATCAAGTAAAAAGAGGGTGATTGGAGTAGAGAATCTGAATTAAATCCGTATTATCATTGCTTTGATCATTTCTACTATGGTGCTCACACTCAATCCATACCTACTTATTGTACTAATCAGGTCATTTGGGAAGCGTGCGGTGGGTCGGAGCAACAAAGACCAGGTTAGTGTAGGTATTGCCCTTTTGGTTTTTTTATTCAAATGCCAATGTCCTTTCTTCTTGCTCCTCTCCCCTACTCCTTTTATCTCTTTCCTTTACCCCCTCTTTCTATTTGGTACCTATGTGGATTAGCATTTAGTAGGAGCTAGCTTCTCTCAATCAATCTTCTGACTCATATTTTTAGTTGATGCTAAAATTTTGTTAGTCGGTAAAAGCAACTGGTGGATCACCCACCCATGGCCTGGTAGAATAACGGGTCAGAATTCTTACACGGCTATCAATGGAACCCTTCACAGCCTAAATCAATGCATAATTAGAACTTTATTAACATAATATTGTAAAAAGGAGAAGAGGCCCGGGAAGGGAGTATTACCCTGAGGGCCCTGAGTTTTTTTTTGGTTCAATGGTCAAGGATGTTCTTATCAATTTATGTCCCAATTTAATTAAAAGTAGGTCTTTCACGTTGGAATTAGAGTAATTATAGTGATATTGTCATATAATATCACTTTTTTGTCTACCAACTCTCCATCCCGTGAAAGCAAATGCAACATCTATGCGCTGCCAGTCATCCAGAAAATTCCTAGAAATTAGCTAAATTTTCTAAGTCCTCCATTCGTTCCTAAATATCTGTTATTTAAGATTTTTGTATAAGAATTAAGGAAATTTTTAAATAACTCTAATATGAGTAAAAAATAATTGTACAAGATTAAAATACCCTTATTAAATAAATATTGGAAATGAAAGGAATATGAAAGACATTTAGCCTCCACCTAATCTAATGCATTGAAAAGTTAAGGGTAAATTTGGAAGAAAAAATATTAATTATGCTTTGGTTTCATTAAACGACAGATATTATGGAACAAAAAAAATTGTGTAAAACGATAGATATTTAGGAATGGAAGGAGTATTTGTTTGGGAAACTCATCGGACAAATATCTTTTTTTTTTCCCTCTCAGTATGTTAAAAAGATAAATTACACAAAAGTTAAAGGGTCAAAATATAATTTACTAAGCAATTGATCTCTTTCCTTGGTCATTGGGTAGCTCCTCCCCTAGTTATACCTAAGATAACTTTTGCGGATCAGATGGCATAAACAATTCCCTCCCATAAACTAACCCAAATGTATACAAAGGTGATTTGATTTGCTAAGTTTTGTTGGGCACCCTTCCTTTGACCCGTTTTTATTTATGAGGGCAACGATGTGCACGTAGTTTCTTAAATATATTTTAATATTATATATGTCCGTAAATTCGATTTAAGATGTTTATTGTCTGACGCACTTGTATTGATTATTTCTAACTTTTATTATATTAAACAAATGATCCACTTGAGGAACCAAACCTAAATTAAAAAAAAAAACACACTACGATGTAAATAAAAGGAAAGGAATATAGAAAGATGAAAAGAAAGCACACTTAGTGCCGGCATATACGGACTACTACATGATTTAGTCACTCTAATGCTCTTATTATATTTAGCACCGAGTTTTTGTCGCTATAGGTTTTAAAAAGAATTAGATATTCGTAGTCTTATTTCGCATGCAAAGAGGTGTGAGTCAAACTCTTGGCATCCGAATTATAATAAAATTACTTTACCGCTATGTCAAGGCTCATTTTTTCGAAAACAATGATATTATGATAGTAACTATGTTTGATTATTTCCCCTTTTTATTAATGGTGAGTATGGGGGGCACCAATGGCCTTATTCTATGTTAATTTGGATGAGATTTCCTTTCGGCAAAATAACGTGTCTTACTGAATGATATTCTCTCATAAAACACGTCTTCTCTCCCTGCTATCGTCTCACACAAAAAAGAAAGCGCGTAGAGTCCCGACCCAATCACAATCTAATAAAATTCTCATAAATAGAGGTATATGAAGGATCAAATATACACAAACATTAAGTTCATATGCTAATGTTGATAGCGACAATTTTGTCATACTCAAACCCATCATCTTATCTCTTCTGCGGGAATTATTGGTAATCAATAGTATCGACCTCTAGAGGCTCCATACCGTATACGGCACGGCCCTATTGTTTTCAAGAGATAACAAGGTATAGTCTTTAAGCAAGTCGACTGAAACTTGTGTTTTACTTCTAATCTTGTCCATTTCAATCTTTTCAATTAAAAGAATGAGTAACATAAGGTGATAAGAGTGGGGACATAAGGGTTTATCGGAGTGGCCAGGCTATCGAGATCTATACTATTAATGTTGAATTTAACTCATTTTCTTCTCTTGTAATAGTATTTAAAAAAAAGTTGAATTTTTGAGTAACTTTGTACGAAGGCTTTTCAAATTTGATCTCGAATGATAATAAATAAGAATACATTGTTTATCACTTTTATCTCCATACACTATTGATTGTGGGTTCTTACAAATTGATTGTAAGTTTAGCCTTACAAATTACTAGAATTCGATTTGATTATTCGATAATTTTATTTCTTTATAGTCAATAGCTGAGTCTGCTAATATATTGGATGTCTAATCTAAAAATTGGATTCACTCCGAATAAATAAATCAAGTTTAATTTTAACCAATTAATCTAAATTTCAACCCAAACTCAATTAAAGAATTACTTAATTTCAATATTTATTCATCTATATACATATAATTTAGATATTAATTGGATTTGATATTGGTATGAAAAATTCATAAAATATAGATAATTTTGGATTTGAATTCGAATAATCATTCAAAAATATTTAAGTCAAAATTCAATCCATTAACATGTCTAACAGGGACCTTATCAAAGAAAGCACAGAGCACACCACCAACCTTGGTCTCCATGGTGATTGTTCTGTCACTTCTGTGAACCAATTCTGGCATCTCCAGTGTCGAAAGAGTGTGCCCGAGTAGTTCATTGCAAGTCCCCATTTGGCTAGCTCGTGTGCTGCAGTGGCTAGCTCGTGTGCACAATGGTCTGGTGAAAAAAAATATTGAACGTAACCGTTATACTACGTCAGTATTGTTATATAGTATAATGGTCAACTAATAAGTAAACAAATCAACAAAATAGGTTTCAATAAAACTCATAAACACCCAACCATGTAATACATAATCACCTTTATGATAGAAAGTGACTCGCATTTTATCTTTTTTGTTCTTTTTTTTTTAATTTAATAATTATACTTACGAGCATGAATTTGAGATCTTGTTGGATGATTGGCAGAATAGACCAATGAACCACAATCATCTTCTCTGTTTCCTGTTGTGTCTGTTTTGGACTGGCCTTTGTGCTGTGTCATCGTGTCTAGGATTACTTATCTAGATGAGAAATGCCATTTGGCACCTCAAGAGACACCCAATAAAAAAACAAAAGCCATCTGAAAATATGTAGCCTAGAATTATTGAAAAGTTGAAGAAATATCCTTCCAAACCCTTTGATTCTAATGCATACTATCTGAGTAATGGTGTAACTGTTTAAAAAAATAATAAAAAGAATAGAATTTTATGATGGGTATCGAATAATTGTTTAGCCATTAAAATTACCAAAAAATCCCCGAGGTAGTAAAATTCTAGGATTTTTTAAAGATAAATATTCCAATCGGATTCTTTTAACCCACCCAATAGGTGAGTTAAATTTAGAAGGTGAATTTGGGAATATAAATACTATTCACGGGGGATCTGAACTATTTCAAGGGGTAAAATAGGATTTTCATTATTTATTAAAGAAAAAAAAAAAAACTTTACGGATGATACATAACATGGCGGGACATGGCAGACAGCTCATTGCTGCGTCAGGTTTCCACTCATCGACGGGATTACGTGACGTGACCCACCTTGTTGGGACCCACAGGTACCAATATCTTTCCTTATCTGTTCACATGGGTCCCACCTCTGCTTTTGTCTCGGACGACCCACCATGTTGCTGACAAGAAGGAATCACAAGGAAGGATAAGTCTATTTACCCAAAT